GCGAGATTCGCAAAGGTCATCCCGTCCTTCCCGCCGCCCCTCCGCGCCGGACATACCAGGGAAGGGGCGGCGCGGCCCGCCTGCCCCGACACGCTCGCCGGGAAGTTCTTCCTGGGGCTTTATCGCGGAGCCTCTCCCTTACAATTTCTGCCTCTCTTTTTGGGGAGGAGGAGGGGCGATTATAGAGATAGTTAATGTCTGCCGTATAAGAAGCATTATTAAAGTTACTCTTCGGTCCTTTCTGTTCTTGATAAACAATTCTGGCTCCTTCTCGAATTCTGTTTTCCGTTCTTTAAGATACTTTACCGCTCTTCAATACAACAAATACTTGCTGAGTGCTTACCTAGGACCAGGCACTGTGCTCAGCGCTGTGGGGGCTGCTCACGCGGGGACGGGGGTACTTTCCCTCGAGGTAAGGAGATTGTAGTCTGGGCGGTGGCCACAAAGTTGTAAGTAGTGTGTTCAGATTTAATGTTTCCTGGAATATCTTCACATTTAATATCCCATAATCCCTACAATAACCTTCTAATATAATTAGTTCGCATTTACATGTAAGAAAAATGAGGCTTCAAGGAGTCACCCCACTGGCCTGCAGGTTCATGGATCCTCAGTGCCAGCCCAACATGTCACATCACCATTGAATTAATTCCGTGGGGATGGAAGAGGGAGGAGTAGACACCCCGCAATTCTCTAGATCCCTTCAAAATGTGATTCCCACTGTCCAGGAAAGAAGTGGATGCAGTGTTTCAGTAACACCTGCCTGGCCCTGAGAAGGGCAATATAAGGAAAACCACTAGCTTTCCAAGAGCCCGCGACCACCACTGCCGGAGGTTCTTCTGGTTGAGTTTCACCCACCCCCGCTAACAGTAAATAATAATAGCCACTCACATTTATTGAGCAGTCAGTGCTGAGGATGGGGCTCAGCTGGTTCATATGTGTTTTCTCTTTTAAGGCTCAAGGCAACCCCTTGAGATTAGTATTAACTTCTCTTTACAGATAAGGAAACAGATTAAGTAACTTGCTCAAGGTCATCCAGGTAGACCAGGGACTTGAACATAGGTCTGTTGTCTCCAGACTTTAAGCTCTGCAGATGGCCTTTCCTTTGTTCTACAGGGTCTATAATACAGGTCCAGCTGGTTTTGCTTCTTATTGTAGACATAAATGTCCCCAGCTCAACTTCTGAATAAGCCTTTTAGTATATCAGCGTCAGGCACCTCAGAATGACTTCATCTGCACCATTAATGGTTATTAAGCATTCACCCTGAATCAACAACTCTTTACAGGCATATTGTTAGCTCCCTTACACCAGTGAACAAACTGAGGTTCAAACAGTTAAAATAATGTATCCAAGACCACACAACTGGGAAGATGGTAGAGCTGAGACCCTAGCCTAGGCCACAAGGCACCTTTTCTCTCAGAAATAATGTTGTAATAGCATCCTTCCCAAGACTGGCCATTTGGGGACCGTATTCTGTATATGTCTAAGTGCAAGTTATCACTGAGTCAGAAACAATCTCCAATCTACTTACAGGGCTCCCCTTCCACTGAGCCACCTTAGTCACTTCAGTGTAAATCCTCAGGAGAGGAGGAAGAGAGGAGAAGCTATCCAGAAGTAAGAGGAAAGCCAGGGGCAGTAGAGCTTACCTGGTGTGGGGACAAAGTGGCAAGTAGTAATGAGAAATCCCAATGGTAATATAGCATCCCATAAGGGCAGAACAAATAATTGGAAATAAGGGGAAACAAAGGTCCCATGTGATAGTGTCCACAGGGGTAAGGTGAGTGAACCCAAAAGAGGAGCCCAGGATGGGCAAAAATGGGGGCAATAGGAAATGGAAACAGAGTGAGGCAGTGCTGGGTGTCTTTGTGAGCTGAGGCTGGTGAGTGCCAGCCTCTTCCTGTATCCTTAGGCCCTCACAGGGACCTTTGCCCAACCACACCCCAGCCCTGACAGCCTTCCTCTGCCAGGACTAGTTTGTTGTCTGCTCTTAGTTTTCTAGCCCCTAAGGACTCCCGGGACGCAGCAAGGTCCCATCCCTTTGAAGGAGCTGCTTCAGACTAGGTAGGTGTAAGGCGCTGGGCCTCAACCTCCTGAGTATTTGAACTGGGCAGAGGGGTAACTGAAAGAGAGCTTGTGTCTCTTCTTAAGGCTTGCCTCCTGAATGACCTTGTAATGAATTTTTGCAGCCTAGGAAGTACCCAGCCGTTGTGGTCAAGAGAAACCTCATGGAGGATACAGCTGCCCAGCAAGAACAGGACAGACCCAGTGTTCGTCTGGAAAAGCTACAGCACTGGGCAAGGCACAAGCAAAGTGGACACCTCTTGGTGCTGGCGGTGAGGCTTGCTGCCCCACTCCAAGTCTCAGCATGTCCACTTGTGCCCAATTCAGTTCCAGCCATGTTCAGGGAGCACCTATTATACGTTATCTGTGTTAAGTTCCAAGCGGGAGGAGGGTGGAAGAAATACAGAAATAAGTAAGGCGAGACCCTTAATCTCCAAGTAGCTTCTGTTATGTGGTGAAAAGATAACAGGTGAGTAAACTACAACATAAGGCAGAACAAATTAAATGGTATTTAATTTTTAAATATCACTTCCTTTACTCCTTTGGTTGACTGCTTTCTTTCCTACCGTGCATTCATTCCAATCCCTGATTTCTACAAGGGGCAAGGGCTTTAAGGAGGAAAGAGAGTCCTTGACAGTTCCCCCCAACTACCTTGCCCTGGCCTGCAGGTGAGTCAGCTATGGCTGGCAGTAGTTGTGGTGCCCTTTGCTGTCTCAGTCGCCTGCCTGAATTCTGCTTGTCACATGGCCACAGTGCTACCACTTGCACCTGGAGCCTCAGTAAGACCTGTCACAAGGGAGGGTGGAAGGACCCAGGGGCCCCTTCCTTGTGGAACCACAGTTTGATACTTGCTCTTCTCACCATTCAGGGTCTCCTCGCAGGGACTGTCACCCTTGAGCTTCGAAGAGCTCCTCGCCTATGGAAGGTGAGGGGGGAAAGAGAATGTAGTACTGTCCTCCCGCTGTCCCCCAACAGACACAGACAGACACACACACACACACACACACCTCAATCTAGCAAATAAGTGGCTCTGTCACTATTATCAGCTAATCTTCTCAGCTGTCTGGCCTAAAATACTAAGGAGTGAGAGCAAGAAGTTAAAGTGTTAACAGCCTTGTTGGGAAGTGGAAGAACAGGGGCCAAGTTTTGTTTACAGCCAGGCCACAGGTAGGGTTTGTGGTTGGAATGAGCCCCTTAGGATGGACAGGGCTGACTTGGCTCACTGGCAGGTTCGGGCCATGATGATATGCAACATCTTCAATCTGATCTTCGGCTTCATCGCGCTGGTGGTCGAGGTGATAAAGACAGCCTTGGGGCCTGCCTCTACTGCCCACTCCCAGGTATTGGCAAATGAGAGAGACGCGGGGAAGAGGAGGAAGCAAGGGGAGATAAGGAGAGGAAGGACAAGGGGAAACAGGTGCGGAGTCCCCAAAGCATCCTGTCTTTTCTACCTGCAGCAGGCAGGCTTGCTGGTGCTTGAGCTCAGCGCTGAGGCCTTCATCACAGGAGGAGTGCTGGTCTCAGCATATGCTCTATTGTTGCTGAGCCAGAGAAAGCCAGGATGCTTCAGGAACCAGCGTCTGCACTACCAGGAGCTGCAGGAGGTACTGGGGGCAGGCAGGAAAGCATGGAGCAGCTAGCTACCAGCTATTTTTTCCACTAGCAACTTGGTCATTGGTACTGAAGGGAAGACAGTGGGGCAGGGGGCCGATTAAGAGGACCTACACTGAAACTGGCTTTCTGGCTTTGGACATCGTCCTCTAATGGTGGGTAAAGGGAATTCGATATCCAAATGATTGGGGCCAGAAGAGTGGGTGAGTAGAGGAAGCTGTGTAAGTATGCATTGTAAGGCTATGAGAAAAAACGGGGAGGAACTTCTTTCTCTTTGGAGTTTCTCCTTTCTCATCACTACAGTTGTCTCACCCCTCTGTCTGGTTTTCAGGGCCTCTCTGAGGTGGAAGAGGTTCCTGGTTTGGAGAATGGTCCCAATGTAGCCAGCACAGGAAACGGAACAAAGGAGTGAGCCAGCAAGGGGAAGCAGACAGGTGCTACTGCCCTTTAACCCTAAAGGACCACGGTCCAGATGCTCTGCTTCTCACCCCACCAAACTCAGAAGCTAACCAGACTCCTTGGAAAACGCATGAAGTCCTCTTCCCTTCTGCGCTGCATAAAGATATACCAAGGCGAGAGTCCCCCTCATCCTTATCTTCCTTTCCCACCGCCTCTTCACACAGCTCCGCCTCTGCCTCATCTCGCTGTCTTTCTGTCCATCATTCATAATCCCATTCGCTCCACGACCGGATTCCTGCACGCACCAGCCCTGCATCCGTGTCCCTTCGACCCAGGTCCTGGCTACACCAGCAGTGACTACAAATCCCAGGATGCCAAGCTACCCCGTGGCCTGCTGGGAAATAAAGAGCCTTTCCGTCCCTCCGCGGCGGGGGCGCTGTGCATGTGCTGAGTGACGCGAGAAGCTGGAAGTCAGCGCCTCGAAGAGGCTCCTCGGACGCGACCACTGGACGCGTAGGGGGAGGAGCCGGGCGGGCAGCCCCGCGCAGGGGCACCAAGGCCGCAACTCTGACACGGACAGCCAACTCTGGCCCCACACCGCTCGGGCCCGCAGCTTCGGCGCCGGTGAGGGCTAGGGGCTGGCGCTCGGCAGGGCTGGTGACCCAGGGGCTGCGCCGCGCCCCCTCGCAGCAGTGCCCCGGTCCAAGGTCCTGAGACTTGGAGAGCGCGCGAGAAAGGGGCTGGCGATGATGACTCAGACTCGCGGGCGCGCGCCCCTCCCCCACGGCCGAGGCGCCGGAGAGCAGCTCGCTGGGCAGGCGGGAGGGCCTGGCCGGCAGGGGGAGGGACGTGCGGCCGACCTAGCACTTTCCCGCCTCTGGCGAGCGCGCCGGTGTCACGGCCCGCGTTGCCGCCGCCCGTCAGGCGGGAGCGGGACTGCGCAGGCTCGGCCTCGCGGCCGCCCGAGGACCTTCTGTCGGCCTGCGGTCTGGTTGCTGCAGCTCACTTTGGCGCTCGACCCCCGCCATTTATGACCTTTGCAAGTGTGCGAGGATGACGAGTTCGGGCGGGCCTGAGCACGCCCAGAGGAACTGGGGGTCCCGATAGCACCGGCGGGGCGGAACAAGAGCTGGACCAGAGCTGGGGCACTAGAACTCACCCCGAAGTCACATAGGGCCCAGGGTGGGCGTTTGCCTCACTCATTTTTGCTCGCCTGAGAAGGCGTCTTCCCTAGCGGGCGCGGCCGCCCGGGCTCACCAAGCCGGGCACCGGCGCGGGAGCGCAGCCTGGCCGCCTGCCCCGCCGCTGCCCGGGCGCCTCTGTCCCGCGGTGACACCTCGGGAGTGGTAGAAGGCGCCCTGTGACACGGTGAAGTGCGAGTGGGTGGGGACAGGCCTGGGCTCGGGCTCTGGAACGGAGAAGACAATCTGGGCCGCCTCCTTCTCCTCCCCCAGCCTAACCGCCGAGATAACGGAGGCTCGGAGGGCTCGTGTGTGAAAAGCTTGAGGAAAAAGTGCTGCAGTCTTCTTCAGAGTCAGGTGATAATAGACGAGGAAGCGGGAGAGAAAAATCAACAATTTGCTTTGTCTTCCGGCTTTTAGTGATGAGATCAGAAGTCTAGATACTGCCTGCTGTTCCTTAAAAGAAACAGCGCCCATGCAAAGAGAACGCGCAGCCCTCAGGTTAAGCTAGGTTATGCTGCGGTGACTGCTGAAACCTCAGTGCTTTACAACCGCAGAGGTTCAGTTCCCGCATGTCCAAAATAGCCCAGCAAGGGCCTTGCTCCTTCTGAATTATCCAGGTACCAAAGCCGACGACTCTCACCATTTTGAGGTCCTACTGTGTCAAATTGTGGTTTAAGGTTGCCTCCTTGAGACTGAAGTAACCATGAACAACCCCCTACTCCACACACACACACGTTACTTTAGCCAAAGCAAGTCATATAGCCACACTCAAGTTCAAGGAAGTAGGTAGCGCACTCTTCACCTGTGTACAAGGAGAGGGAAACAGAAATACTTCATTAAAAGAAAGGTTTAGCCATGTGATGACTCTTCAACAATTGAAGAAGGTATTCTCACTTCTACTTGTTTGGGTTGGTTGTGTGGGCCCTTAAGTAAAATTATTAATAGAAATTATTCCTCAGAAAGTAACAGGACTGGGTGTCAGGAAAAATTCTGAGTCTTACTTGGGCAACTCACATCTCCCTGAACTGCCTGTTGCTTACCTGAAAGTTGTACTCATAGATTTGTCCTCTTAATGGAATGTCATGCTAAAATAAAACCTCACAAGGAGAAATACTTTAAAACTATAAGGCACTCAGGTGTTGAAAAAATTGTTTACAGAAGTAAGGAATGGTTTGAGTAAGTGCAGCAGATTGGGTATAAGGTAATAGAGAATGGTGAGGCATGGTAAAATAGAAAAGACATGTTGTATTTAAGTGAATGTATGTTACCATTCAACTCCACCAATTGATGCAATGTGGGACTGTGGATCTGACAGTGCTGTATCTTTAATTTTTCTCTGGAAGTATAAATTTCTGACTTTTAAAGTGTGAAATTTGGGCTGGGGATGTAACTCAGTGGTAGAGTGTTTGTCTAGCATGCACAAGGCCCTGAGTTCAATCCCCAGTACCACACATACACACACAAAGTGAAATCTCATTGTAAACTAATCACACACTTTTTTTTCATAGCTCAGGCTGGCCTTGAACTCAGGGTGATCCTCTTCAGCTTCTCAACTGCTGGGATGACATGTTGTGTCATGTTGTGTGGGCCCTCCCTCCACCCACGCCTAGCTATAACAAAATTTTTTTAAACTCAAGGGCCAGATTCAGTCTATATTCCTTCGACTGTCAGTCTCTACATTATACAAACGTACAGCTGGGCACAGTGGCCTGTGTCTGTCATCCCAGCTACTCAGGAAGCATTGATTGATGAGAAGATAGCAAAATCAAGGCCACCCAGGGGCAGCATGGCCAGACTCCATTTCAAAGAACAACAAAGAAAACAAAAATAAGCATGCTGCATGCCTGCAATCCCAGCTTTTAGGGAGGCTGAGACAGGAGGATTGCAAATTCAGGGTCAGCCTGGGAAATGTAGTAAGACCTGGCCTCAGGATAAAAACTTATAAAGGGCTAGCGATGTAGCTCAGTGATAGAACACTTGCTTACCATGTGCAAGGCTCTGACTTCTATCTCCAGTACTGCAAATAGTAATAAATAAAAAATTAAAAACCCACATGGTAGGAATTCAGGTTTTGGATGTACGATATGGTTCATGTAGACCTTGTGAAATCCAGAATTTCAGGGAAGGGTCATTTAGCCCTCCAGAGGATTATTTTGCAATGTCAGAGACATTTTGCTAATCACAACTCCAGAGGAGAGGGCAGGGCAAGGGAATGTGTAATGGAAGAAGCATTAGGTGTGAAGTGAGAAGATTTGGGGCTTAATCTCGATGCTAATAATGCTCCTTTCCTACACTTAACCCTCTGGCAGCTGCAAGAGGGGACGGAGCCTGATCCCGTGTCGCTCCTGGTCTCCCCTCCGTGCCCATTCCTGCCGGACGCCTGGCTGCTCCCTAACAGCGTTCAGTTTTGCTGCCAGGCTCCCCAAGCAACCGTTTCTGCTCCATCAGTTTGACAGCCTCTGTGGAGGGCACTCATTTTACTTGAATGAGAGCTGCACAGAGGAGGGGACTGTGACAAGGCTCCTGATGACGTCAGTTTTTAGGGTCCACGACCCCTATCTCGCTTTTAAGCACTTGGAGAAATATCCACCCTGTTTGGCTTCCTTCATGGGCAGCTGAACTCTGGTGGTTGGAAAATACCCCATCCTGATGAATTTTACCTTCGATTGTTTTGAAACTCATTTATTCTGGCGTTGGATACGTGATTATAGATAACTGACCATGTTTTCCAAATGAATTCTCTTCCGTTTTTCGACCTGCTCTTTTGCAAGATGGCTCAGGTTTTGTGGCCACGGCTGTGTCCTCTGCTGCCATCTTGTGGCGCCGGGCTGCCCGGAGAGCCGCCTCACCAACCACCTTCCTTCCGTCGTGGCGTTGGCAGCAGCCTGGCCCGGCCCGGAATTTTACCCCCATCCGTGGGGCTCCCCCGAGCCCGCCCCTGCGCGGGTCTGCAGAGGAACCAGGGCCTAGCGGCCGGCGGGCGGTGCGGGCCCTTCCGGTCATCGGCAGCTCCTCGGGCCTCTGCATGTTATGCAATCCTGGCAACCAGCCACGGAAATCAGTGGACTCAGCTGCCCAGCAGTAATCAGAGCTGACCTCGCCTAGTTGGCAGGATGAATGCTCGGGAGCTGCTCCCCGCCCGCCACCTAGGCCGAGACGTTTGAATCTCAGTGAGAAGTGAAGACACCTGCTTTGGGTTTCTGGATTCTGGTTTTTGTTGTTGCTGCGGCTGCAGGTCCAACTGGTGCTGTCTCAGATTCGACATTTGATGGATGGGCTGAGCAGGACAGTGGCGGTGGCGTCCTCACCGGACTTCCTGTAAATACGAGGGGTTCTGTGCGCACAGACTGGAGGCCCGTCTCCAGGGGACAGGGTGTCTGGGAGACTGCCCAGAACTGGGCTGCTGGCCGCTGAGCAGCGACATGGAGCAGGAGGAAAGACAGAAACCTTCTTTGGCTGACATTTTTCCATTCTAACAATGCTCATTTTTAACATGTATACAGTTTAAAAGCCTTCTAGTTGCTAATGAAAGCTCAGCACTGTCCCGTTGTTAGCCCCTCTGCCTCGACTCAGCCCATTACCCTCTACTTCCACCTTCTCGAAAGAGAAAAGGAAGAGCGGGAGGAGAACGAGGACTACTTTTGGTGTTTGTTTTAACCTGCTTTCCCCTTTGTAATAATTCAGAGATGGACCTGCTTGTACAGTTTCCTCTGGCCCCAGGCCACCAGTAGCCCTGTTTGGAGGTAATGGCGACGCACCTGGTATGTTGCCTCTTTTTAGAAAGATTAAATGGGAGTCGTCCTCAGCTCTTTTCTTCTTTGCGTACTGTTCTTCCTGCCTAATTTCAGTGATATTTTTGTTGTATGGTTTTCTTCTGTTTATCATTGTAATCTTTATTTTTCTTATCATAAACTTTTCCTAAGCTCTGTCCAGAATTAATAACTTTTCTTTGTTGATTCTTACCTGTTTTCCCTTGCCACTGTAAAGTTTTCTGTTTTTCCCAAACCAAGCTCCCGAGATCTCATTTAATTTGTTTTGCCTCTCTATAATGTGCTCCCCAACTCCACCTTGAAAAGCAGTGCTGGAGAAGGCTACAAGAAGAAAGATCTTAATAATTTATTGTTTAACTTCTCAAGATTCTTGTTCATAAAAGGAGAACTACAGAGACATACAAGAACCAAACAGCACATCCAAGATCTGAATCTTTCACTGAGAGTTCACTCCCTTCCCTGCCTGCTGAGTTTCTGTCTTGTGTAATC